GGGGGCAGATATTCATATATTTGTGTTCTGCGTTATTAATTTCTTTTGAAATCGATTGTTTTTATGGTCTGTGAACACGAATATATGAATATCTGCCCCCCCAATTATCGAGCTAGCTACGGAACTGACGAAATGCAAATTTTGTATCATCGCGTTCAAGTGTTTCTAGTTTATTTTAATTGGCGCGCATGGATCGATCAATTGAAACAAGAATTTGAAGCAGAAATCTTAGACGTCTTGGAGAGTTTAACAGCGTATTTTTATCTAGAAATAGGCAAACTTGTTTAAAATTATCTACGTCTTATATTTCCTATCAATAACAAGAGAAAACAAGCATGCAAGAATGATTAAGGTTCGACTGTCTACAGTTGAAGAAAAGTGCCTAATTGTCTGAGGATTTTTAAGGGTTTTTTGTGATTTTCTCGATATTATAGTCAGTATAATTCCGCGGTAACAAAAAGCCCCAAAATAATTTTTATATCAGATTTTAGAGCAACAGTTTGTCTTTAAATTCCGTAAATTTCAAGGAAATTGGAGTTTTCCCGGATACGGAAAATTAATTTTCAAAAAGTGTAACAATTTAGAATTTTTTGGATCGCAAAAAAAGACGATTTTTACACGCTTGTCTTGACAATTGAAAAATCATTTCAAAAATTGCAAATTGGACCCACGTTCTTTATAAACATCTTATAAACACGTTTAAAAACGAAAGGTGAGGTTTCATCACACGCCAATTGAGAAAAACGAAATTTTCGAGAGGCCGTAGCTCACAATATTTTTTGCTAATTTCGCAAATCTCGGGTATGTGTGAGGTTTTGATAATTTTCGGCGTTTAAAATAATATTTCAGAAAACAAACCCCACCACGTTTCTGAGTACACATTAGAGTATCACTGGAAAAAATAAGAAGATTTTTTATTTTTCCTCATGTGCCACGTATTCTCGATTTTGCTCGGTTTTAGTGGACATTGTCTCTTAAGTTGGAAGCAGCATTGTGAAGATCTACTTAAAGATTGTTCCAAAGCTCTTGGTTTACTGTTCAAGTTCAGCAGATATATTCCATCAAAAGTTTTAAAGATTATCGCTGAGGCACTCATACTGTCAAAATTGAACTATTGTTGTAGGGTTTGGGGATCTGCGCAAAATCAAGAGTCGATTAATAATTTACAAAAACTTCAGAACAAGGCCGCCAGATTGATCATAGGATATAAGGTTGATGAAATATCTAGGGAAAATCTCCATGATGAAATAGGTTGGTTAACAGTGAGACAAAGGATTCATGTCAGAACCTTAATGGCATTGCATAATGTACTTTATTCTGGTGAACCAAATTCAATTTACGTGAATTTTAAACCATTTGAAATTACTCATGAACACAATACTAGATTTTCGTCGAGGTGTCGAAGTGATAATATGTTGTTAGGGAAACCTATGTTAAAGAAGAAAACCTTTTGAGCTCGGGCTTTTAGGACTAGAGCTATAGCTATCCGTCTATGGAACAATTTAGACTATACTATAAAAATCATATCTTCCAAATCCATGTTTAAGTCTGCTGTTCTTAAACAGCTAGACTGGTTCATATAATTATTTTTCACTATTTGAACTTTTAACGTATTTTAGTAATATTTACGAATACCTAGATTTATAGACTTTTTATCTTGTACGGTAATCCTATTTTTAAGACCTCGTGTAAACTAGCGTTAGCTAGCAGAGGTTCTTTTTTAAATACAAATACAAATACAAATATAAACAGTCAAAGTCTTATTAATTTTGTTATACTTGTTTAGGTATATATATATATATATATATATATATATATATATATATATATATATATATATATATATATATATATATATATATATATATATATATATATAGGAAGGCTGAGACATTCAGTCGAAAATTAAAACTTTATTACTTTAGTACATTTTTAGTATTGGTTTCTCTCGGATCGTAGCCAGCTATTCTGTTGTATATAAATGTCGAACTGGCTGATACGAATATTGTATTTTGTCATATATATATATATATATATATATATATATATATATATATATATATATATATATATATATATCGCGCAAATCATATGTGAATATTATTTAATTTACAGAATCAACTTACAATATCAGTTAAGATACTCTTCAACAATAAAGAATTAGAAAAAAGTTCTCTTCAAGGAATGGTGTATCTAGGTCAAAAAATTTGGAGGTTAGGTTTCCATACAAACAAGACAGTGCTGAGCCCGAGGTTTAAATTACTTTTAAAGTCAAGACATCTGAAGGATCTTATAACTTAACCAAACGCCCATTCAACAGATAACTCACAGATAACTCATCGGGTTTTCGGCGGGAGAAGAAGATATGCGTGCTTCCACTTGATTGATGTGGAAAACATAAACAACATGAACGAAGCCTTCGAAAGACAATTTTTCATCAGCTGTTCAGGCCAGCAAATCACCAGAGACTATTAATATCGATTTTTTCAGTGCCAATAATATACATAAAGATATTACTCTACTGTGATTGGTTGATTTCAGTGCAGTTAATCCCGAAAAGCAGTGCAATTTTCTGTAATCACGGTGCAATTTTCTGTAATCACAGTGCATTTTTTTGTAATCACAGTGCAATTTCCTGTAATCACAGTGCAAAATTCTATGACAAAGTGATCTGATTGATGGAAAAACATTGTGATGATTAAATCAACCAATCAGTTTAAAGCAATTTAGTTTAAAGAAATAACGGTCACAGATTCGCGCTCGTTGCGCTACATGCACAAAGTAAAAGTTGACTTCGCGTGGAAAATATGGCTTTTATCTTTATTTTTGAATGGAAAAGCATTTACCTTAAACAAGACTAACAAAAATTACATAGTTGAGTGGAATTTTCAAGCTGTTAGCGTTGTATAATGTGATATAACAAAGCCAGGAAAACTTCGCCAGTGGAATGTTCGCTATAAACGCGTAAGTTAAAACTACAATTGTCTCGAACATTTTTAAGTAAATTATTAATGGGGGTTTCTCGTGAAATTTGGATAAACATGCACTCGTGAGTTTTTCAAAGACCTCAAATAGCACTCGTCCTTCGGACTCGTGCTATTTTGAGGTCTTTCAAAAACTCACTCGTGCATGTTATACATGATCCACATTGCACTCCAAACCATGCTATTATTTATAGAAAGCAAAACAGACCAAAAAATTTCCTTTTAAAATGTCATCTGATAGATTCAATAAAATGTGAAATTCAAACTAAAAATACTAAAACGTCCTCATTTTTTACAAAGCCAAGACATTTAATACTGACTTAAAAATGCTTTGAAACTTAATGTAACATGACAAAATTTGTGTTTGTAGAATTTTGAACGAGCGAAAATTTTGTTTAAAAATAATGCAAAGTGTACGCTTCGAAATGAAGGTCATATAAAAATCTGATTGTTATGTTTCTTTGCTTTTTATTTAAGAAACTCTTGTTTACTTCAGGTAGTAATATAACCACTCAGCACAGCAATTTAATTCACATTGGTACTACCTTCACTGGTACAGACATTTTTAGTATGCTTTTTTTAAATACTTTGAAAACTATTATTATAGTCAAATACATGGCAAAATGTTTATTCTGATGCTCATTTTCCGAGTTGCCTTTTTAGTATAAATCACACTTGCACATGAAATTTGCCAAAATTCAGTACTTTCTTCATTTTTTAGGCGAATTTATATTCTATTAGCAAAAACTAGAAAGAAAAGCACATTTTCTCACCAGTACAGTGGCGCACAGTACCACTCAAAAACCAAATATTTATACTTTGTCCTGGACAATAAGTTCTTGCTCGAGGTTATTTGCAATCAAAAACACACATTTTTCAAGGAACGTCATTTTCGGCCATGTTTCAGCAAGGAATTCTTGACTGCTAATTTCCCGATTGCGACAAGTATTTGTAGTCTTGATTAACGTTTATTAATTTAACGTTTGCGTCTGCTAGCTTTCTTTTATTTTCCCTCTGCTACAGTACGAGAAACAGGGTAGCGAAATCTGTGTTTTTGTTGTTTTCACAATTTTTGCTGAAACATTACTTATTATTTGACTTGCTATTTCTATTGAATCTCAATGTTTCCCTTGACTTCGTCTCGGAAAACATCGAGACCCTCGGGAAAACAAAACAAAATATTTTCCTCGCGAGCAGAAATTAAATGTATAATCCCCTCAATTGCTTGTCAGATGCACTGCGTTTCAACAGATTCGTGCAATTTAAGAAATAATTAATGTTTTTCTTGTATTACCATAGCAAAATCTAATTAACGATGCGGTTTCCTTATTCTTTTATAGTTGGGGGTCGTCATTTTCTCGATGATTTTTATCGAGCTCGTCGACAGCCTGGTAAACGTATCTTCTATTCTGCGAGTCAACAGCTACCGCGAACGTGTCTTTAGTTTGTTCTCGCAAGTTTTCTCGTCCCCTTCTGACCAGATGAAACATTATATCAAACATACATTTTTGCTGCAGTCCTTTAGGAGTGTTTAAATCGAAGCTTAAGTGCAGCTTTTGTAAGTCGTCCTTCGTAATTTCTGGATGGTGGTTAACTTTAGCCATGCCATTTCGTTTCAGTTCAACGAGTAATGCAGAAAATACTTTGTTTGACGAACCGAAGTATACGTCCTTCACGA